TCGATTATATGTGGGGTGTGGATACATTTTAATCGAATAAAAGAACACGTAATTTTTCAATATTATATAATAACAATTTTTCCATATCTTTGAACTTGAATGTTCGAAATATCATGAATCACCCTATATATAATTCGATCATATCGTCCAAACTTTCGTTTCGTATCAGCCTCAATATTATCTAATTTCTAACCTTAATTTTCGACGTTCAATCGTCGATCACACTCCCTCTTTACACAGAGAGACTCGTGATTCCCCACGGTTTTTCGAAACCGTCGTCGCCACCAAAATTTCAAAACGTAACGACGTAACGACGTTGCACATGTCCACGCAACGGTGTTCATCAAGTGGAATATCAAACGTTTTCCGCGGGGTCCCCCGTAGTGGCGCGAGGCGAAATTGATCAGGCACCGGCTCGAGTAGTATCAGACGGTATTGCGTCAGACAGAAGTATCGCTATCGGAAAAATCTAGGGTCCCGGCCAGTATTTGACGCGTTTACTGTTCGGTGAACCATATGTGTGTCAGGGTACTCCAACCTCGTACATTTATCGACATGTTTTTTCGATACTGACGCAAGTTTTAGATTGTTGTACAGGTACTTACATACAATTGGTCCCAAAAATATTCGTATATTTAGTTTTTAACTATGCTATTTGTAATTTTCTATTCAAAAACGATTAAGCTGTTTATAAAGAATTGAAAGATTACGAAATTTTTTTCTATGAATGATATAGTTAAATCTAAAGTCAGTCAAATATTTCTGGGATCAAGTGTGAATCTATATACACGAGAAACTTATTGTTTATTTATTATTATTAATTTATCCATTAATTTTTTAAGTGTATTAAAAGTACAAGTATTCAAAAAAAAAAAAAAAAAAGATTAGAATCAATCTTCGATAATAATTTACGTGTATCAAATCCCAAAATGAATTTTTTTATTCGAATCAACGATACAGATTTTAATAGAAATTTTCTTTTTTTGTATATCTGATCGATTGATCGATGAATTTTTCAAATTTCTCGAAGAATTCCAAATTTTTGCAATTCCAATGAACGTCCTCCCTTCCTTTTTTTTCTTTTTTTTTTTTTTTTTTTCCTCCTCAAAAAAATTCTGCCGCGTAATCGGTATGGCCATCACCATCCGTGACAGCCATTTTTCTTCTCGCTCGCTCGATCACCATTTTCTCATTCCACGACCGCGATCGATCAATCGAACCTCGACTAATTCGCAGAACTCGCTCCTCTCGATTCTCCTCTCGAAATATAATAACCTCTTTGCGATTTTTTTTTTTTTTTTTTTTTTTTTTATTCCACGAGGATACCGCGGGATGGAGATGAGAGAATGAGAAGTTTATTTGAAAAGTCTCGATAGCGACCACCACCGTTCTCTCGTTTCTCATTTTCGTCCATGGGCTACATATATTTATCCGCATCAGTGTGCAATTAGCGTGGCACAATAAGAGAGGCGGGCTCGGATGATGTAATAGAGTGGCGAAACTGTTGTGTGTGGCAAAAGTTAACGTTAACTCTGGAAATCTCGTTGTTCGAAATTTCACCTGTAATCGAGGCGTTCGACTTGCAGGGTTATTTATTCCTCGACCATTCGAAAATTCTGCGATTCGAACGATCGACAGGGCGAGATTGGAAACGAAAAGGGGAGAAATTTGATTAATCGTGATTTTTCGACGATGATAATCGCGTCGCTTTCGCTTTGTTTTTTTTTTTTTTTTTTCTTCACGTTCATCGAGCTTTCTCTCATTTTCATTCCTTTTCTATCTTTTCTTTTTCTTTTTCTTTCCCCCCTTCCCTTTCTTTTCGTCGTCGAACTGGAAATAATCTCTTTCCACTTCTTTCCACTTTTGTTCTTTCGTCATTTTTAACGAGAGGATCGCGTTTGAAAAAAAATTGGAAGGAAAGGAGAAAGTTTCAGTTCGACGTTCGAGATACAACGGAACAGTATCTCGAATAAATCATATAATTTCCGCCGCGCTTCTTCACTTTCGCTACCACCACGACGTTTTCCACGTTTATAGAGCGAGTCAGTAGCGATTAGCCATCTAGAAAGTTAGATTAGTTTGTGCCACGTTAGAGAAGCATCGTCCACATTAGCGAGCACACAATCAGAGATCGTAGGGAATGCTGCGATCTCGAACACGTCATCACGGTGGTATACGTAAGTCGAGACGAATAAAAGAAACACGATCATATTGTTTCTAATCGTTTTCTCATTTTCTTCTTTTTTGTTTTATTCTTTCTCTCTTTCTCTCTCTTTTTTTCCCTTTTTTCTTAACATTTGCCACTTGAAAAAATATTTTTGAAATATTTGTTTCAATATATAGAATAATTAGATTGAAAGTGGCAGGGTTAAGAATATACATATACTTCTGTTAATAATCTCTTTCATTCACACGCACACGTTTACACAACGATTCACATTGCGTTGGTTCCTCGCTGTGCACCACTTCGAATTATTTTCACTGGATCTTTCCTTCGAAGTCGAAGAAAGCCACCATCTTTAACGTCTGCCCATCTCTTCTATCTTTCTCACTTCTGTCTGTGCATCCTCCTTCAAACACGAATCACCACCGAAGACGAGAAATACTAAACTTCCCTGTTCTTTACAGCAATCTTAAATCTTCACAGTCTTCGCACAGTCTCTCTCACCGCCATGTGGCATCATCACCGAAAAAAAAAAAAAAAAAAGAAAAAAAAAGAGATAATACACGTCACTCCGGTGTTATGGATTTATGAACACCATCACTGACTTGCCTGTTATCAGTTTCGCCCATTTCTCTTCGCCACTATTCTTATTACACATCTCCACTATTACACGTTTTCGTGCATGGCTTGCATCCGTTTTTATTATTACTTGTCAACGAGGCGGGGATTCGTTCTCGAGATTGGATTTGTTTAATTTCATTGAACTCAATTTTTTTGAATATTCGCCACAAAAATTTGTTCGAACAAATAATTTCGATACGAGAATTAATATACTCGATGTAAAATCTTTTTTTATATTGAATTAATGGAAGAAGAAATAAGTATAAATGTTGAAGAAAAATTCGTCTTTGTCAAAGGAATGAGATACACATATGTAATTGTAGAAAAGAAAAGAAAAAAGATTACTCATTTAAATTCCATTAAAATTATTGAGGTTGTCTCGATATTTCCACACGATTTCTTCATTATTATTAGACGAAGCCTGGATAAAAAATCAATAAATCCTTTTCTATTTTTAAAATTTATACACCGTATCGTAATATAATAATATAATACATTTTTTACTCGAAACTCACGCAAGAGAGTGAAGATTATTATATTTTTTCCAACTGGCAGTGCGCATTATAGTTAACACGAGAATTGAAAATTGAAGCCCCTCCCCATTGAGAGCGAAGCCGATGCGAAGGGACAAGTTCACGCCTCCTCCGCTTTCACCACAAGCATGAAAACCGATCTGCTTTTTTAGACGTGTTTGTCGTATCCCATTCCGCTTGTGCATGCCTGTGCATCGACACACCCACGCTTTCTCGGAGTCGAGTGTACCAAAGCCAAAATAACCGAAGGGACGCTTCGTTTTAAACGTGAGAGATGTGTTTCTTTTTCTTTTTCTTTTTTTTTTCTTTTTTTTTAAGCGATTCTCTTCGACACTTTGATCGAAATCGAAATATATTCGCCTTCCAAAAAGGCGTGTCTCTTGTCCGAGAAACAAGAAATAAGATGGAAATTTCGCTCCTTTCTTTTTATTTATTTTTTTTTTCTTTATCCCTGTTTGAAACAACTCCATGAATGATAAAATGTGGATAAAATGTCGAGTTTCGAGATGCAACAATTGTCTATTATCTACGTCTGTCTGCCATCTATGTTCTTCCCTGCATCCACTTGTATTTATTATCCATATTTCTCTGTCTGGTTTTGATAGATATACAGGGTGATCATTCTTGTGATTATTCTTGTTATCCATGGATCGATACATCGATAAAAATATTTTTTTATCTCTGTACTTTTATTTTTATTATCAGATCATTATCGAAATTCGACGAAAAAAGTCAAATCATGTTTATATCCGTTATATCCATGATAAGAAAAAAAAAATGATTGATGATCAATTGATAACGAAAATAATCGAGGTGACTTTATATGCTGAGTCACCCTGTATATCCTGTAAAAAAGAATCGAAAGAAGAATTGTTTCTAATCCTTGCTGATTTGAGAATATATATATTGATATTTCAAAGAATTTTTCTTATCCCTCCAGGTTTATCTCGATTGTTCAGATCTTTTCTCTGTCTCTCTTTCTCTCTCTCTCTCTCTCTATCTTTTTCTCTTTTTTCTCTTTCTCTATTTGTGAAAGTGTGGTTTGTTTTTATTTTTTGGTAGAACGCACTCAAGGGTGCAATTAGGATCCTTCTGAGGAGAAGGATCGATCCGTCTTCATCGACGTTTTGCACGTTCGTCACACCGAACTGCACCCTCCTCCAGCACTTTACCTGGATTATTTTATCCCTGGATAATTACCCTGGATAGTAATCCTGTTATTCTCGTGAAATAATGGATTTGAGAGGGCAGAGTGTAAGAATTATTCGATCGATTGGAATTCAATTCAACATTTCAAAGATTTCTTTGAGAATATTTTCTGCAATTGGACATTCCAGAATGATTACTCTCCGAGAGTAGTAACTTTCAATCGCAAAAAAGAAAAATGTTCTTTCCAGGTAATAATATTATCTCGAAAGTGAATACATCATTCTCAATAATTAAACCGGTAAAAGAATCTCGAATCGAAAACTTTTGAAATTTTAAGAGATTTTAAGAAATAAATATCTTCTTCTACGTCAATCGTATACCGTTATCGTTTGACGAATTACCTCTCAAGACCTGCTTCACAGGCCACTTCGAACGTTTCAATTTTTCGACAGGAATGATTTTCCACCTTCTCTCTTTCTCTCTCTCTCTCTCTCTTTCTCTCTCTTTCTCTCCCTCTCAGTCGTGAACGCCACCCCTTTCTCCCCTTCACACCCCCTAATTCGAAGAGAACCCGAGTCTATATATGTATGATACTCGATCGAGAGACCAAATACGGGGAAGAAAGATAAAATATTCTGGTGCTGTTACAACTCTCTACTTCTATTTCTTACTTTATCTATCCGTCTGTCTATCTATCTCTATCTACTCTCATCTTCCGTTAGTCCGACATTTTAGAATTGTATAAGCTAGAAAGTATATTTACCATTTTTTTTTTTTTTTCTTTTTTATGTAGAATAATATCAATTTTTGTGGACTAGCTGGAACTCTGAGGCATTTGTAATGAAGGGGGGGAAACAAAAAAGAAAACGAAATAATGCTTAAAAGAAAAAAAAAAAATGTACGCTTCCTTTCTTAAATTTGAATACGCTTACGTTGAATGTTTATCGCTTTGAATGTCGGCTTGATTGATTTATCGACTACAACTGCATCGAACGCGATAATTATTCGAAAATTTAATTCTTAGAGTATATTGCGTAGTGACCCTTTCACGCTCGACATTATAATTGGTAGTTGAACGAATCGATAAAATTGGATACAGCCAGTCGCAAAGAAATATGCAATAAATCTTACGGATTTTTTAATGAAACCGTGTTTGTATATTTTCAAACATGTACAAACTCGGAAAATTTCGTTTAAAACAAAATTTTGCGACTTGATTTAATCGTTTTAAACTCACTTAAACTGTGTACAAAAATTTTTGTAATTGACTGTATACATATATATTTTCATCATACCGCTATATATCATTCACACGTAATGTATTTAAAGTACATATTAGATACTGCTAGTTTTAGTATCGATACATTTTACATCTGTAAAAAGAACATCAGGGATAAAATGTGTCATCGATCAAGAATAAGAATAAATATTATTCGATTCGAAAAGGGTTTATAAATCTTTTTTCTTTTTTTTTTTTTTCGTGGTTAAAATTTTCTTCGACAAATGAAAGATAAATGAGAAAAAAAGGAAAAAGTCGCGTTCGATGAGAAATCGAGCTTTGGCTATCTGCGAAAATCGGTGTTCCAAAGTTAACTGCCACGGAGTCCAGCTACTTTGCATTAATAAAACGCGATCGAGATACTTCGAAGTCGTGACATTTGGCCTCGAGCCGATTCAGAAAGCAAATAATGAAAGAGAGGTTAATAATATAAATCGTTGTCGTAGCAAAAAGTGTTCTCCAGTTTCAACGAATCTTTGTCTCTTCGTGCGAAACCTCTAAATGGAAGAATAATTCCTTTCGAGGAGCAAAAGAAACACGACTACCATGGACAAAGTTTTCCAGATCCTTAGACGATTATTCGTTAACGGATCGATAGCAAATACATGGAGGATGCTTGCAGAAAACTTGGCCCCGAAATTGCAGTCGAAATTAATTATCTCTTGAAAAATAAGGAGTTAAAGGAAACGTTTCGATATTTGAAAGCGTAGATGATAATTATATAAACGAAATATCAACGGTGAACTTTTGTATTTAATTTAAATAAATTTAACGGAATAATAGTAGATATTAAATGTCCCAAGAAGAGGGAAGAGAAATCGAATCTTTTATTAAAGATAAAATCTTTTAAATATAATTGTAAAATTCTCGAAGAATCTTTTGCTCTCTGATTCACTCGAATCTAAATATTACGAGAAAATATAAAAAGAAAAAAAAAAAAGAAGAAGATATCAGCTTAGTTGAATATTAAACGCGCGTTGGCTGGTCTCTAAATCTTTTTGTATGAAGATAAAAATATATATATATAAAGATAAAAATTGAGAAAAAAAAAAATAAATAAATAAAAGAAAAGAAAACGAAGAATGTAAAAGAATATATTTTATATAAAAAAAAAAAACTGTCGCATATTCGTGATGTATGTGTGTATTGTTGTACAGAGGATAAGAAGGGCGGCGTCGACCGGAGCAGCACGGTCATTGCCAAAGAACCCGAAGGTAAACCTTGCATATCGAAGGCCGAGAAACGTGTACGTAATACGCGTTTCGACGTCTCGTGTTCATGTGTATACATATATATATATATTACGTACCTCCGTATAGATTTACATATATATATTTATATACGTATATATTTCCACATGTGTTACGTGTAGATGTCCTCCGGTTCAGACCTGGCTTCCCCTGTTCTTCCAATTGCTGGTTACCGGTTCGATCGAAGTTGCTTCTGTGACTTCGTTTTAAAAAAATCCAAGTTAATTTTTCGTGATTTTCTCCTCCTTTCCGAATTATTGGAATCATTGTTGGATAAATAATTAATAACTTTCGAATTGGCAAATATCGTAAAAATTCATTAAGAAACTAAATCCAGCACCTCTCAAGCTCCCCTCTCCCCGCCTAAGAAAAAAAAATACCTCTACTTGCATTAAATCTCGAAATTGAAAAACTCAAAAAAAAAAAAAAAAAAAAAAATCTCGAAGAAGAAGAAGAAGAGGAGAATTAATCGTTCTCGTTAATCTTCGTTTCCTCGAGCTTTCACCCTTATTTTACATTCGAGAGGGGACACGAGAAGGAACAGGGGAAGCCAATGCCACTAGGAGCTCAGTGACGAGCTTCGAGCTTTTGCACCCCTGTCTGTTCCAGCTTCCGCTAACTCGTACTTCGGATTTACCGTCTCTCCAGCCTCCTCTCGTTCCACCACCAACTAATAAGGATTTCGCGTGCGTTGCCTCCCCCCCCCTCCCCCTCTGATCGGTCTGAAAAATCGGTGAACCCTCCCCTGAACTCCCCCCTCCCCACGTACGATTGATCACGAAGATCAATCAACCGTCCCTCTCCTTACGTCGTGCACGATCGTGTCCGTGTAAACGTACGCGTATATGTCCTTAATTGTGGTGTTTGATAAAAAAAAAAGAATATCGTTGTTATTTATTTAACGTTGAAAAAGGGGGGGTTTCACGTGATGATACACGTTGATTGGATCGTGTTGGAAATTTATTCGAAGCATGGTGGCATTTAATGGAATTCGTTGTAAATGGTAAGGTAAATGGTTTGTGAAATTTTGAGTAAGGGTAATTTGTTTTGTAAATGTTGACTTGTCGACTTTGGACACAGGTTTTTTTTGGAAAAATTGGATTTTGATTGGAATAATGTTGACATAAACGTGTCAATCTTATAGGCGAAGCAAATCAATCTCTGTTGATCTTTGTTTCGTAAAGCTATGAATATTTATATATTCAATAATATATTGTGACTAGATTTAATTACGATACACTTATCAATCCATAGATACGGATAGACGAGATAATTACTCCTAGAGTAATAAGAGATTTTTACTTACTTACTACGCTATTAACGTTATATCTCAATTAAATTGTTAAGGCAAAGGAAGTAAGTAAGTAATATCAGAAATTTATCAGAAATATAATAGAAACTGATATAATTTATCGAACGATATCTACAGTTATATATCATATTATATATCGTATCACGAGATAATATATTAACGATAATAAGGCAATTTTGTTAAGAAATAGAAATTTCACAAATCATATAGGAAGTGTAATGTATCCGTTCTCGATAAAAATTGTGTGTGAAAAATCACGTGATTCCCGTCTCGAGAACAAAAGAGATTCGCGGCATCTTGAAACGAAAGCGCCTTCCCTTGTTTGTCTGTTTCCATCCAATGTGTGTAATCCACGCACTCGATTTACGAAACGAGGGCGTGAACTTCTCGACACCGGAAGAAGCGTACGTCAACCTATAGTAGCGACGAGAAAATTAGCGTTCGAGGACGTCTGATCAGACATCTAGCGGATCTACTGCTCCCGAGGCGAGTAGAAACAACCTGTTTGTGCCGCGATATCTCGATTACAACCACTTTTTATCACGCCACTGTGTATATCGTTTAGACGTACAGTTAGACGTTGTTACGTAGGATTGTTGTTCTTGCGCTGTTGCGAACGTTATGCTGTTTAGGAAATTGAATAATATATATATATACACGTGTATACTGTTACCATCGAGCAGCTGGCTGTCGTTTTTTTATTTTTTTCTTTTTTGTTTGTTAAATTTTATTTATAAAAAAAGATACCATACTTCGATCCCCATAATTTTTTTAATATGTTTGTCGAAATTATCTTATTATTCATGAGCAATATTGGTGAAAGTTTTACTTGATTTGTTGTTTGTTAATCTAATCCAAATCGTGTATATGAATTATCATTTTGGGTATATTCAACTATCAATCGATTTGGGTTAGTTTTTTCTTAATCTGATTAACAACAAGAAGTAAAAATCTTCGCATCACTGCTCAGAATGATAACTTTGACGATATATTAAAAAAATCACTTTTCTTTGTAAATAATTATATATTTTTATTATTTTTTTTTTTAATTCTTCTTTTACTTTCGAAATATCTACGTAATTAATTGTTTACGATCACGAATTCGTGATCGAGATTAAAATGTCGTCATGGACGAGGAGGCTCTTGGACGAGACGTCTATGGCAGCTTGGCAACCTTGAACGATAAGTAGATCCAGTATCGTAAGCTTTAGCAAGTTTTAGTCGCCTGTGTTTGATCGAATAGATAGCCTGGATTCTCAGAGTTTTGTTGCTTAATCGTTTGATCGTGTTACACACGTAGCCAAAGATTCATCGTAGAAGTTCTCTTCTTCGCATTAATTCGCCACAAGCATTTCGCGATCGATGGTTCCCAACATTTCGAACGAAATCATCATCGATTAGTCTCTCGAAACGATTCGAGATTAATCATTTTTGATTGAGATATCGCATCGCAATCTTGAATGAATTCTTTTTCTCATCGATTAGTTTCTCTTTTAGAGTTCATTTGGAATGGCTGTTAACTCTTCTTCTAGTCGGGTTAAGATCGGTTGCGGCTGCTCAAAGTTACTTGGAATATAGAAGATCGAATATAGAAATCATCTGTGTAAAAATCTCGATTACACGGATATATTATGCAGCATGAGAAACGTGCCTTTAGAACATTATGCCTCTTAACATATTGCGAATCGGACACTTTTATTGCTTAAGTATGTATATATATATATATATTTTTGCATCAAATATTTTTATGTTAAGTTTAAGTTTATTGCCACTTGCCATTTAACATTTTTTCTTTTTTTTTTTT